CCATTAAACATGCACGACCATTTTGTTGAGGACAAGGCAACACTTTTGAGAAAATGCATGCTACTGTTTTAAAGCAAAGATAAAGCAGCCCCATGCAACAGAAGTCCAGGACAGTGGTGGTGACTGTATGTGGTTTCAAGAAGCCTGACAGCAGCTTGAATTAAACTATCCTACCAGTTGCAGCAGTCCTGGCTAGATGAGAAAGGCCAGGAGGAAAAGTGCTTCTGAATGTGTGGCGTTTTGGTCTGGTTTTCTAATGACGGGCCAAAAGTGGAGACGGACATTCAGATGAGAACAAGGGAAAGGACAGGCAACAGGAGAGAAAAATACAGGAATGTGCTCAAAACCAAATAGATGAATTAAGCTTTCCAGCGTCCCTTTATGGACTGAAGGATGTGGCATGACCATACCCACTCACGTGCCTGCTTGAATGAGACAGGGAGCTCTAAAGACATTAACTCTACCAACACATGTCAGGTACTGACACGTATTGGACAGCGAACCCGAAAAAGCAGGAGATAACGTGGAAGAGATGCCAGAATTTTTATAAAGGGCTATGAGAAAGTACATTTATCAAGGTCACATTGTAGAAAGCAGCTCTGTAGGAACCACTGTAAATCAAACAGAGGCTTGGGCAAGTTTGAAGCCAACTGCAACAACTGTGGCTTGTTAAAAGCTCAGCACCAGCCAAGCTTTGCGATATTTAAGCTTCAAGGAACAAGAATGTAGAACATCTCTGGAAGATGGTGCTGCGGAGACTGACTGCCGAGAGACAAAGAGCCCTTAGCAACAGGATTTCTCCAACACAAAAGAAGTCTGACAGGCCATGGACAGGGAGTCTGCGCCATTAACCGATGCTGGGGCACTGAAAGTTTAACACGCTGCCTCCGCTCTGGTATGCGAATCCTTTTCAGGCGGCTGGGCTGAGGTGCTTAACCACTACTGCACATATAAGATTTGCTCTTGCCAAGCAGTCACAAGGCAGAACCGTCAGCCTCCATTCTATTCATGCCTGACAAAGCTGGAAGCCGAAAACCTCTCCTTCATCAAAAACTACAGCTTCTCATTGAAGGAATGAAACAGCAACCACACGCACCAAAAAATAAACCCTCATGGATTTTCAAAGCTGCGTCAGAGTCTTATCCGAGAGGTCAAGCTGCTGCGGTAAGACAGCATTTCCTCAATGCCGGACATTGCAGGGCAGGGCCTCACAAGGAGTTATCCACAACACAAAGCAAATATCAACCTGCAAAAATCATTCCTTGCCCAGTAATTTCAGAGATCTGGGTCTGACTTGCCTGGGTGAGGAAGGAAAGCTCCCAAAGCGTTACAGCTTTGGTGGTTCAGGGGATTCGTAGGCAGACAGGTTTGGTGGTATCTTTTAGCAGACCAACTGTACAGTTGGGAGGGACGTTAGACAAACTTTTGGGGGTAAAGTACCCTCTCTCAGGTCTGGGAAAGAAGTAGGTAGAAGTCTGGTAAATGAAATACCAGACAAAACAATGGCTTACATTTAACTCCACATGCTAGGGTCTTCCCTTTTCTGCCTGCGTTTGTTCTCAGCTCTCACACCATCTTCCATGCTCTCTGTCCTCCTGCCCTCTGTGCTGACCTCTTGCTACCTTTCCCTGTTCCCCAACATCTGTCCTCTCTTGTGCTGAATGTTCTGGTGCTTGGCACCGGTTACCAATAAAACATCCTAGAAATTCCACTTCTAAACATGCCCCGTGCCTGGGCTGCCATGATCAGATCTCTTATTCTCCCACTACCTAAAATGCAACCACCAGACAGGAGCAGCATGGGTCTCAAGTGAGCACATAGTGTTAAGGACCTCAAGTTGTCATTGTGACCAGCTGAGATGACCTGGAAAGGTCATACAACTGTCAGGTTCAGTGCATTCCCACCTATCCTCTCATCACAGGTTTTCTACAAGGGACACCTGTGCTAAACACTAGTCAAGTTTTATAACTGGCATCACATCTCTATGGTAACAAAAGGTGTGATCCCATGGGTAACTCTCATCATTCAAACTTCTCCATGACTGCCATACTGAGTAGTTTGCAGCTCCTCTTGTAGCGTTTTAAATACTAGGTGGAGGATTCCTCGCTGCCAAGACTGAAGACAGCCTTTGAAAACTTAAAATTAGCGCGTTGCAAAGTTATCATTTAGATCCAAGTAGAGTTACATCCCTAAAGGCAGAAGGGTCATCTACAGGTGAATTTAACATAGAGTGGCATCACAAATTAAAATTCCAGACCCCAAAGTCACTGACTTGCCAACAAAATCAAGAGTTTGGATGGCATTTCAACAGCGCTACTAAGAGCGCTTTGAGAACTACAATTCTTCCGTTAGCAAACAATCACATCCCTATTTCTTGATTTCTGATAGGAGCCTTATCAAAGATTTGCCCCCCCCCCCCCTCCATCAGGTGAATGCAGGAGATTAAAGCTTGTGATGCACATTGCTGGCTTTGAGTCCAGGTTAGAGCAGGAAGGGGCTGTGCAAAATTGTTCTCGGCAGCTCTGCCCAGAACATCAGTGTTGAGCTACAAGCCTCCTACTCATTTCCATCTAGAGCAGAGGCTGCCAAACTAGGTGGTAGGTTTCTGACGCAAAAAAAGTGGTTGACCAGGAATTAAAACTGAACCCCACAAGACAGATGAACTCTACTGCCCAGACTGGCACATTCATTCATTGTGCCTCCCGGCTCCTTTAGCTCCCCACCCCACACAATCCAAGCAGACAAGGAGGCGGGTTACCTTTTTAACATTTTCCTCTTCCTCCTGGCGTTTCTCATAGTGTGAGAAGTCATCGAAGATGGAGGTGGTGTGCTTGTAGGTGGCAATGATTTTCAACACCTGCTTAGCCTTTTCCAGAGGCACCTCCTGAGTGTCCCTGGAGTTGGTCACTGGCTTATTCTCGTTGTTCTCTAGGCGGATGTGCCGGAGTTGGCTGTTAGGAACGTCCTTCACAAATATCCACCTGACATCAAAGCGTCCCTTCCATTTGTCCTGGGACCACACGCCTGCACATGTGTTGTAGTCCACAGCAGATTTCATTTCTGCTACGCCGCAGAAGTGACCACTGCCGTTGACACTGAACAGTAAGTAAACAGGGCCTTTCCCATTCATGGAGCGATAAGCAGCATCCAGTCTCTTGTTGCCGTGCTCTGTACTGCACCAGATATTATATTTAATGGAACGGTGGATATCGTCCTCAGAGTAACTCTTAATGATGAAAACCCGGCCGTGTTTTGGGTTCCAGTCAAAATCCTTGGGGTTGTAGTTGTTGATGGATCTCAACTTCTCCAAGACTGGGTGTGGTTCTGAAGGAGCAGAACCAGAACTTGCTTGAGACTGTCCCACTCCATTACCATCCACTCCATTTTGACCAAAGCCATTGCCACGATTACGAGGTGCAACCCAGCGGGTGGGCTGAGCTGCCTGGTGCTGCACTGGCAGCTGAGCTGACTGTGGCGGTGGTGGGGGCAATGGCTGTGGTTGTTGCCCTGGTGGAGCCTGGGCCACTGGTGGGCTATTATTGATCTGCTGACCCACTGGTTGAGGGGACACCTGGGTTGGCTGTTGACCAATATTCTGAACTAAAGCCTGGGAAGGAGCTTTTGCCACCGGCCCTTTGTTATCCCAAGTTCCAATATCCATGTTATGCTTTATTGGGGGCGGTGGAAGACTCGAACCTGCAATACCATTCTTGGTCTTCAGCTTGGGCTGTTGTTTTGCAGGTTTGCTAGCAATATCAGCCCAGGAAGTTGGTTTCGGAGGAGCGATAGTGGCTGGAGGCAAGCTGTTAGACGCCACGATATTACTGGTAATGGACCCACTACCAACAGCGGACCCGACAACTTTTGGGACATTGCTTGCAACATCTGTGCTGCCCAACTTCAATGCTGCCATGCCTTGGTCTATGGTATTCATGCCAGGAGCCTTATTCAGAGTCTCATTGGCAAAAGCAGACTGCCCATCAATCATGGCTCCACCCAGCGAGCTAGGTGCATAAGCGTAATTGCTGCTATATCCAGAGCTTTGAGTGGACTGTCCCTGAGAACTGTTATTTCCCCATGCTGAAAAGTCAATCCCACTTGGAAAGAAGTTAAAGCCATGCTGTCCGAGGAATGGAGTGCTGCCAAGGGCCCCTGGCTGTCCAAACATGGCATCTGGGAGAAAGTGAGGCTCCCCATTGCTCAGCTGTCCATAAGATGTTAGGTAGGGCATAGGTGGGTCACCCCCTGTAGACCAGGCAGCTTCACCTAATGAGTAGGAGAATCCAATGGATGGACTGTAGTAGCTTGGTAAGTAGGAGTCAGACATTGCAGTGTATGCATTATTCTGCAAAACAAAAACAAGCACTGAACGGTTAGAACAGCTCTTCGGCAGCCCTGGAATCAAAAGCCACTTTTCCCATGCCCCATCCCCTGACTTCACAGCCACTTCAACAAATTCAAAGCAGTCGGTAAGCAAGAACCGTGGCTTTTAAATGCACCTTTTGCCAAATATACCAAAACAATTTTTGTACCAGAACAAATGAATCTTTTAATTTCAATTGTTTAATCAGGATTTTCTCTTCTAGCATCCTAGGAAGTAGGAAGTCAGGGTGTCACCCATTCCAAGCTGAAGGATCATTAAGCTTCCAGACCCCTTTGTGGAACTGCGAAATGACTGCAAAATACTCTGGGGCAGGTTCCATGTTTTATACAGAGTAATGAAGCCTTCATCAAGTACCACTCTGCCAGACTTTTTGAACACATGAAGGGCATTTTGTTGTTGTTGTTTTTGGGTGCGAGAGGAAGGGAAGAAGGAAGAAAAAATGGGATGCACACAGTCAGCCCAATAGAGAAAGCACTACGAGCAGTTTCATTCAGCTGTCCCTTCTCCCCCGCCATCCTGATTAACTTCTCTAAGCTGATTATCCATGGAAACTCCCCCAAAGATGTAATGAGAGAGCGCTCCAAATATTCCAAGAATTTGATTTACATTTCAAGTGTGTTCTAAAACTGCTTTGCCTCTCTAACTCCACATTGACAACACATTCAAATAATACACAATGCAAAGCTTTGCTATTGTGGCCTTTCTGGCATGGCTGTGAGGACTACAAAAGAAAGCAGACTACATGTAAAGAAGAAAAAAAATCTGCTAACACTTTTGCTCTGCCCTTTTACACCCAAAAAGTCTCTAGATTATGAAAGTAACTAAGTCTTACAATTAAGAAACTTTAATGGATATCACTCCGACTTGCTTACATGGAGAACATCTGTCACTTCATAGTTAAACCATGGCCCCCCAGGGGGTTGTTAAAGCCACGCTAATGGATTCTATCATCCAGTAATTTGAACCTGCATGCACACGGGTCTAGTGCTCTATGACAGCTTATGTGACAATCCACTGCAGACCAGATAAGCCAGTTCAGGCTGAACCCCCTTCTTAAAAACTTGGCTCGCATTAGGTACCACTCAATCATTTTCATTCAATTGTGTTTTTTCCACGTGCCAAGGGCAGCTCCCAAAGGATTCCATGCCGTACTAGACCCTCTGCAAGCTCTCAAGGAAAAAGCGCTGCCTCTTCCACTCCAAGTGTAAGTATACCAGGCCCCAAATTTACCAAAATTAAGATTTTTTTTTTTTTTTTTTTTTTTAAGTTTAAAGGTTCCAACAAGGTGAGGTTGGTTTTATTGTTTACAATATTCTCCTGCAGCAACCAAAACCCAAGTAAACAATGCATCCTGCTGCTAATGCGTGAAAACTAGGAACAAATGTTACTGATCTTTCACATTCTTCTCAGCTGGGAAAATGAAAAACAAGCAAGCAATGATCACCTTTAACTGGAGAATGCTGGTGTACTGTAAGGACCTCCATCCTGCTAACCATAACCAAATAAACAGCCTTTAAGGCTCAATCAAATGAAAGTCTCACTTGCATAAGCAGTCCCATTGACTCAAGAATACGATTTATGTGCCCCCCCCCAACCCTTTATGATTTTTAGTGGATACTGGTCTCCTCAAAGGAGAGATTCTCTTCAGGTTTTGTTGGTTTGTTTGTTTGAAACAGAGGTAATTTAAAATGCAGAGCTGGCAGCTAGCCTTATATAAACGAACTCCAGACCACATTTAAAACTTAGATTTGTCAACGCATCTCGATTAAATCTGTTCCTTGCCACATCTCCCCTGCAGTGCAAAGAAGTGACAGTCGGATCAAATCAGGCCACTCATCAAGCCAGCATATTCTTTTTGGCTTTGCCTTTTTGACTTTTGGCTGGGAGCTGGATTACAGAATATACTGGTGTACTATCTACATAATACCACTGAAACCAGAAGAATCAATATAGAAATATACAAATTAGGGTTGAAATGCTTGATTAAAAAATGCAATTAAGGCAGGCCTTTATATGTTTATTGACTGAAGTTATACCAATATGTGCATCAAGTCCAATACTTCAATGCAGCAAACCCTCAAGCGACAATGTCACAGATTCATAACTAAAGAAGCCTCCACCAGCATTTACCTCCCCTAGATGACTAAGGGGTGTTGGTTGTAGCCGTGTTGGTCTAAGGGCGTAGGCTGACAAGGTTCTTTGAATAAATCTGATTTTTTCATTAGATCAACTAAAATAGTTGGAAAAATTCTTCTTTGCAAGCTTTTGGGTACAAACACCCGTCTTCTGGTAGAGGGAGAGCCTACACTTTTTAAAAAGCCTATTTCTTCAACTTCACTGTTCTTGTGCATCTCTGTCCCTAGGTATCACTATTCTCTACTGTAGTTTTGCCTCTGTAAGACTAAATAACCATAGACCTAAGCTTTGGAACACCAGGCAACTTTGATTCAGCAGGCCGATAAATTGGGTGAATTAAAGACTATGCATCTGTGCCACTGGGTTATCTGGTATTCTCCATACACGAGTTGGAATGAAGTTTCAAAAGGCTCCCACCACCCTTTTAAGTTTTGACCATGTTTAGTAAAGCTATTTCTTGAAGTCTGAATAGTTCATGTTTTGCTAAGGTACTTTCATTCAGACACTCTTCTCCTACCAGCCTGTTCCATTTGTGCAGCAGGACCACAGTCAACGTAGTGACTCGGTGTTGGTTTCTCTCATTCTATTAACTTAACTGGTAACACATGGATGGGAACAGGTGTCAAACTACACAACACAGTGAGAAACAAAAGCAAGTCATCCCAGTGGGTTTTAGCTTCATTGAGACTTAACCAGAAGTTTTGTCTTATTTGTCACTGCTGTTGACTATTTAAAAGGAACACCATATACTAATCTTGTTGGTTTTAAAGGCATTACCACGCCCATAAACATTTTCATTTTTCTATTTAAAAATGTATTATTCCCCTGTTTCTTAGAGCTATACTTATGCAATGCAAGGAAGAGGAGTGAAAATTACTAAGACTTCATAAACACACCAAATGAACTGAAAAAGAAAAATACTGAACTTTTTGGTTACAGTAAGACTACTCTGTTTAATAGATGAATAACTGCACAAAGAAGTTGACAGAAACTCTTTAAGTGGTTAAATGTGCCTAAAAAAAAAAAAAAAAAAATCACTGGTAGTAGTTTCTATAAAAGTAAAAGGTGCCATCAAGTAAGGGAAATAGGTACATTTGTCCAGCACTCAGAGACTAAATGAAAATAAATAAAGACCTGCTCAGATTAGAGAGATTTGAAGCTCAATTTGTACTCTTCTGGAGAACTAAACGCACTAAATGATTTTAATCTTTAGCATCCTAAAGACTGCAAGATGATCAACTAAAAAAACCCAAGAGTGGAAGGAGGGTCATGCTCTCTCAAACAAAGATGGAAGCCTGCTGAAGAATTCTGGTAGCAGCCAATAAATTATGGCTCATCACCATTAGATAAGACATCCAAATAAAGCAGCATCATTGGCAAGAATAAGTATTTAAGATACTCAATTTCTATGCCCAATAATATTCCAACTACTCTTTGAGAAGAAAAAGACATGCAGGGTAAGATAACTACTAGTCTGAATACACAGACCTACTGTAATTCAACTTATGGTGCCTCAACCCTGCTTTATCCTGTATAATTTTTCCTGTCTGCATACTCATTAACAACCATATTTTTAACTGCCAAAATGCAGAAAAGTGATAAAATCCCTGGAATGGCACCATCAGATACAACTGCAGGCTTTACAATAGCTTTATAGTTCATCTTTAAAGTTTAAAAAAAATATAAACCACACACCCAGTGATTATCAAATCCATCTATTCTGGGTTTTCTTGGTGGAAAAATAGAGCAAAAATCTATTTCAAGCATTTCCAGTGTGCTTGATAAGGAGATAAGAACACTGATAATACCCTCAATGGCAGACAAGCCTCTAGAACATTACCACATTTTACTGAGACATTTCACAATGCAATACAATACACTCACTCATCATCTTGTAAGAAATGAACCAAAAATGTGCAAGGGAAGTGACATGCCACGCACAAAAAGATCAGAACCAACTGCCTCAAGTTTTCCCTCTCTCTTTTCTAATTGTCACTGACAATTTGGGTGTGGTGGGGAGGGGGGAGGGGAAAGTTCAGTGTTAATTACTACTTAAATGCAAGAGATACTTATAATATCAGACTTTGCAACTAAAAACTAAATTGAAGCCAAGGGCCAGCGTGCTTTCTGGTCAGAGCACTGTCTCTGTACTGAGAAAACAAGGCGTTATTTTAACAGCTAAACAAACAACAAACAATAAAGCCAGTAAATATCGAAATCCAATCAGCTGTGGAACTGGGCATACAGGAGACCAGAAACCCAACCAAACACATTCATATTACCTAATGGCAGGAAGTCAACTTGAGTGTTGGCAAACTCTGCCCCTTAACAGGCAAATTCTTTCTTACTCACCGGCCTGGCCTGAGGACTCAAGTAGGGTTCGAAGTCGTCGTCGTTTAACCCATCCTTCTGATGCACAGACCCGTTTTGCACTACGAACAAAGTTCAGAGCGTGAAGAGAGACCCTACGCAGCCCTCACCAGCTTCAATTAAAGCATTTCAAGAGTGGAGCGCCGCCTCGTTAAAAATAAATCCCCCTTGCACAGGCTTCACACCCCAGCACCAGATCAGGTGAGGGAAGGTGGCTGGATTAGCCCCTTTCAGAGAAGACCCCGGCTCCCAGAAGGGAAGTAGAGAGGAGCATCGGGCACCCTGGCAGCACATGCGTTCCCCACGGCATTCCCAAATGTACAATAATCATCATACGCATATGATCATTTCAACCCTTGTGCAACATCCCATCAATAATGGGAAGTGTCCAAAACAGGCGGTAATTTCTGAGGCAGCTCATTGATGCAACACCCCAGTGGCTCTCAGACTCGGGTATCTCGGTTGTGGCCGTATCGGCTTAGAGGAAAAAGCAATCAGGACTCGTGGTAGAGGTGATCTCTCTCGTTAGACCAACTAGATGCTTGCAAACAAGAACTAGGTGCCATGAAAGAATTTTTTTTGCACAAATCTAGCTGGTCTAATAAGAGAGATCACCTCTACCACAAGGCTCATGTGCAAACAAGAATGAGATGCCACCAAACAAATTTTTTTTTTTTTTGCACAAATCTACTTGGTTTAATAAGAGAGAGCGGACTCGTGGTAGAGGTTCTCTCTTTTATTACAGCAACTGGAAGTTTGCAAAAAAATGTCTTTGATGGCATCTAATTCTTGTTTGTAAACAGGACTCGTGGTAGAGGTTGTTTGCAAAAGAGAATTAGATGCCATCAAAGACATTTTTATTCAACTTGCTCAAACAGCTGGGAGATTTTCCAAACGGTTTGAATTGGTTCTAATAAAAGATAGGTTTGCCCGAAGAACCTCGCGTGTCTTTATTTCAAGGCAGGTGGCACGGCACGCCCGAACGTCAGCTCAGGCTCTCTGGGAAACCATTCAGGACTCGTGGTAGAGGTGATCCCTCCTATTACACTCACTCGATTTGTACCAAAAAAAGTCTTTGATTTCGCAAACAGCCTCTACCACGAGTCCTGGTTGCAAACAAGAATGAGATGCAATTTTTTTTGGCACAAATCTCATTGGTCTAATACAAGAGATCACTTCTACCATGAAACCTGTTTGCAAACAAGCATCAAAGACCTTTTTTGGGGCACAAATCTCATTGGTCTCATACAAGAGATCACCTCTACTATGAAACCTGTTTGCAAACAAGCATCAAAGACCTTTTTTTGGTACAAATCTTGCTGGTCTAATACAAGAGATCACTTCTACCACGAAACCTGTTTGCAAACAAGCATTAAAGACCTTTTTTGGGGCACAAATCTCATTGGTTTAATACAAGAGATCACTTCTACTATGAAACCTGTTTGCAAACAAGCATCAAAGACCTTTTTTGGTACAAATCTTGCTGGTTTAATACAAGAGATCACTTCTGCCACGAGATCTGTTTGCAAACAAGCATCAAAGACCTTTTTTTGGTACAAATCTTGCTGGTTTAATACAAGAGATCACTTCTACTATGAAACCTGTTTGCAAACAAGCATCAAAGACCTTTCTTGGGCACAAATCTTACAGGTCTAATACAAGAGATCACTTCTACCACGAAACCTGTTTGCAAACAAGCATCAAAGACCTTTTTTTGGCACAAATCTAGTGGGTCTCATAGAAGAGATCACCTCTCCCCCGAGTGCTGCGTGCTAACAATCAGATACAATTGTTTTTGCACAAATCCAGCAAGCCCGCTGCACGAGGCCGCCTCTCCCGGGAGTCCCGAACGCGCTCTGGGCGAGACCCCGCGCTGGGGCTCGCCGCCCGCCTGGCACGAGGCCCCTGGGGCTCGCACCCGCTCTCTTCCGCTAGCTCGCTCGCAGAAACCTCCCGGCCGCTCGAGCGGG